GAGAGGGTTAGCAGCAGAAGAGGTGAGCTGCAGCCACTCTGAAGCTCTTGTCCTCCCTGGCAAGGAAGGAGCAGCCAAGGCAGGAGGGGCTGATGGGGAGAAAGGACAGATTGCACAGGAAACTGGTGGGGTCACCATCCCTGAAGGTGTTCAGACACCATGGAGATGTGGCACTGAGGGACGTGGTCAGGGACCAGGTGACCCTGGAGGTCTTTTCCAACCTCAACAATTCCGTGATTCCACCGCAGGGCCCTGCAGCAGTGCGACAGCACAGATTGTGCTCCAGCCTTGAGGCACCTTGACTTCTCAACCAGACTGTCTTTATAAGACACAGTAAAGCAACTTGGAAAATCATATCATTTTGATGGAGTGTGTTTATGAACGTTTTCCCCTCCTCTTGCCTGCAAGCAAACTAAGAGATACTGGAGCAGACAGCAGAAGAAAGATTGCACTCCCTATGATGCCAAGAATCTCGCTGAAGCCTCATTTAGACTGCTGCTTGCTCTGAGCTAAGCTGAAAGGAGGTGATGTATTTCAGACACCATAACTTAATATTAACATTGTACCTCCGTAACGCTCACTTGAAAAGGCTTACACCAGAAGTCTCATTAGCAAAACCATTAAAATGAGCACACAGCTGGTGGAGAGCATTTACTGTGCAGAAGAGTCAAATTCTTCTAAACTCATAGTGGTAAAATTGATTACTGATTCTAACATCTGTTGCAGATTTTCATTCAATTTCTCCTTTAAAAAGTCACCCAGCTCACACACCAGACTGGGCTCTACAAACCAGCTCCCCTCCCCACTAACCACAAATAATCTCCATGCAAATCAGATGTACTCCTCTCATAAAGCAATCATGACTACTATGTATTATACAGCAAGCCCTACAACATGCAACATTAAAGATGTAACTCGATGCATTTATGCTATGCTTGTAATCATATAGAAGCCAAGGGCAGCTCTGAAGGAAGGATCGTATTGGAAAAGACCACCAAAGTAAAGAGCACCAGATGCAAGCATGAAACATTTTAACATGCAACTTGGTGTCATCACCCAGAACTGGAAAACAAATGACTTGTCAGCAACGTGCAGAACTGGAAGACAGCACCATTTTACACTTAGTGCCTGTCTCTGGATGTGCCTTCTGTACCACCTCAGGGGAAGGAGCACGCTGCCACAGGCACCAAAATCCACAGAAGGGCAATGCACTGCCAGGTGTGTGATCTGCAGGGAGAAGTAGAGCTACAAAACTGTCTTTTGATGGTCCTTTTCTATCAGGGACAGAGCTTTGCTACACCTTACTCGTGACCCTGTGTTTCCATGAAACCTTAATTCTCCTGAAGTAGAAAAAAAAAAAGTGATGGCATTGTTTTATCCAAGATCTAAGCCAAGAACAGCTATGATGTATAAAGACAAGCCTGTACCTGACCTCCAGAAAGTGCCAATAAGCCATTTCTTTTGTTCTTCTGTGACCCTCCTGGAAGGACAGGAAGGATAAGGCTCTGCTTCGTCATCACATCCTGCAGTGCCATAACATCTATTAACCTGAAGGGGGTTTTTTTCCCCCTCCCCCTTCACTTCGTGCATGGCTCCGATTTGTTCGCAGAACATTGGCACCCGTCCTCTGAAAGTTAAAGCAGCTCAGCAGTGCCCACTTGGTGTCTGGCAGCACAGCAAGTACTTGAGGTACAAGTGGACAGGACAGGATTTGTCACGATTAAGTCAAGAAGACACAGACAGAGGAGGTCACACCACGTCAAGGTTGGAAGAGTGCTCACCCAGGTGCCAAGAGGAGCAGAGCCCAGCACCAAGGTCCACGTTTTCCTTCAGGAGTCACCTTACTTCTCGGCCAGGTGGAAACCAGAAGTGTGTTTCAGAGTAATGCTGAGTCACAAACAGGGCACGTTCTGGTATGCCCAACACCATCTTTTCTCCAGTTATTTTCAGCGTGCTCGTGTTGAAATCTGTAGGTGCTTCTGCAACCTGGGGTCACTGCATCTCCACTCTGTGTACCAGCAGCAGGGCATTTGTCTCAATCACCAGCCCTGCTGCTTGGGACAACATCTGTGATTGATAGGCAACACACACCACTGCTTCCACGCCTTGCTCAACCTGCTCTGGTAACAGCAAGGGAAACGGAGCACCAAGTCAGAAAAACAAAGGAGCAGGCTGATGGTCCATTTATCACAGCTCACAATGTCAGCTCCTTATTCTCTTCCTAAGGCGGTACATTTGGTTAATGGCACCTCTGGGGGAAAAAAAAACACATCAGCTTGATAGGAAAACTCCAGAGTACGGGAAATACAGTTCCTCCCTCTTGAGCTTCTGAGCCCTTGCTCTCAATTAACACCTATTCCTCATTTGGATACAGCACTACAAAGAAATGCTTTTCAGCATCGAAATACAGCTTTCTGGTCTGCAGAACAAGTATTCACATCCCTGGTGCCTCATCAACGGCTCGTCCATCACACCACGGCCCCTCACTCTTGTTCTGATGAACTCAAAGCCGCCGTAGGACGACTCTGAAACTCTCAAACACAGTGTGTGGAAAGAGCATGCTCTAAATCGTGCAGAGCATCCTTCTTTTTCCTCTCAATTTCACCTGGAGGGCAGAAGATGCACGATGAGAAACAAACAGAGCCTTCTGGGAGTCTACCTGCTGCTTAACAGATTCCTCTCTTGGGAAACATTTCTCAGTACAGAAAAGCCAACGAGACCATCTCAGTAAAAACTGCTCCAGAAAGGCAAAAATACTTGCTCCAAAGAGCAGGGAACAAGGATGGTATTTCTTGTTGTTTGCTACAGAAACAAAAAAAATCACAAAAGCATTGCTTCTTTTCCTCCTGAACGTGCCATGCACTGCAGCAGCCATCACCAACACACTGCATGGTGCTGGGGAAGCACACTGGAACAATTCACTGCCATCTGTGAGCGCAGGCCCTGCAGCACCATGCACAGCCCCACAGCAGCACAGCAAGTCATGGCTTCTGTTGGGGCAGTGCCCATTGCTATTCTTTCAAATACTCCCAGATCAAGCCTGTGATTCTTATTAGCACTGACTTATATCAGCTGCAATGCCAGCAGTCCGGGAAGAATTACCCTGAACAAACCTATTGTTTGTGTGGGGTTTTCTCTTTTTTTCAGGCTATATGAAAGTATCGGGCTTGTATTTCACTTCCAGATGCATTAGCATCACTTTCCCAACACAATGCACTTCACCATCCACTCAGAAACAGAAACTGTACTTCTTGGGAACAGCAGTCAAGGCATCAGCTCTCAGCACCCTCCAGCCATCACAGCCCTACAGAACGGTGCTCAACAGCACACATGTTAACACAGGGCAGTGCACTTCAGAAGTTACTTTTGCCTCAAAGCAGCTTGAGATGATTTCTGTGTGCTACAAGCAGCACTGAAGGACAAACTTACAAACAGCAGCTTCTTGCTGCTGCCTCTATTTGATGATGCAACGTGCAGCTGAGCTGGGGCCGGCAGCACAGCATACTGTCCACTGGAGCAAGTAATAATTGGCTCTTGTGTTACCAGTGCTTTCAAGGACCCTTCCAACAGCAGTTGCTTTTAGGAGAAAACACACCTGGTAGTTGAGCTGCTTTTTACCTCCTCTTCACCTTGACCAGAGTATTTTTAGCTGTATGGATTGACTTGCCAATACATTCACCTTCAGTTCTTCCCTAGGAAAGCTCTGCCAACACACAGCAAGGAAAGAACCATCTCTACTAAGGGTCAAGAGAGGTGGGAGAGAAGCGATGTGCAAAATCAGCTTCCCAAAAGTCTTCCATGTTTTTGCTCTTGGTATTTCAGCCCCTCTGCTTTTTCCACGGCCTCCTCCACTGAGAGAGCTTAATTGGGTTTATACCTAATTTCAGTCAGCTCAGAATTTAGCCTTGGTTCAACAAGATCAGCTGGTACCTACAAACATGTTGATAAACCTACATGCCTTTGCAGAAGTGTCACTCAGTTACAGTGAGTCTTCAGGGTCTCCTAACATTATTTGGCAGAAAATGGCCCAACACAGTCAGTTCAGAAGGTAGAAAATTTAATTCAGCTGAAACAGTCTCTCTTGTCAGTTCATCTCAGCAGGGAGCACATAAACTTCTGCCAAAACAGCAAAGAGAAGTGCTTGTTCCATCAGAGCACAGTATCAGTAACCAGGAGAGGGAACGCACATTCATGAAGCATTTCTACTACCTCATATGATGCTGGGACCATGAGTGATTCATTACTTACAATTAAAACCTGCAACATGGTGGATGGAATTGTGAGCCAACAGCAGCAGATGGGAGCCCGTGCCTTCAGGGCACCAGCTGGCTCTTGGACAGACCCAAAGTGCTGGCAGTGTGAAGGGATACAATCACAACTATGCTCAAACCCATTGGTTTGACTGAGTCTTCCAGAAACAACAGAGGCATTGAGCTGTATGTGGCAGGAGGGCAACCAGAGCCTTCATCTCCAGCACACACATTTTCACCGCCTTTATGTACCTCAATTTCAAGGGAATCTATGAGAACCAGAACACGTGGATTTCTGACCTCCCAGCTGTCTCTGAATCTCCAGTCTTTCTTCAGAAGCATCAGCTTCATTAGGAGAACCACTCTCTTATAACCTCCTCATCTCCTATTTGGAGTCCTACCTTGCATTTGTGTCTTATGCTTACTTCACAGCCATCCTTTTAAACTCACAGCAAAGTTTTCTGTCCCATCTGACACATACTGCTCTCCCAGCGATGAAATTTCTTCTCTCATAGGAAACTGATTGAGCTTGCTGAACTCTTACACATTTTGTACATAAGATAGGTAACATGCTCCCAGCATTTCCGGGGCTCACGACTCACTACTACTACTACTAGTACTACTTCTACTACTACTACTACTACTCACTACTACTACTACTATGGGACTGCTACCTTTAGCCATTCCACTTCTGGCTGAGAAGGCAACATGCAAAAGTACGGGAAAAAGAAAATATTCATAACCAGGTACCTTTTCAGACAAGGCCTTTAAGCTGTCCAGGAACCTCTGCCAGAAATCTTTGAAGAGCGGTCTATCAATTCTCTTCAGGCTCTCCTTGGTGCTGGCATCCACGCTGACATACAGCTGTGTGACAGGCTCCAAGTTCCTTGGTAAGAGAAAAGAGAAGTAGGTGATTATTTTCTGACATTACTGATAACTGATTTTTTGCTTTTTTTTTTTTTTTTAAGCCCCTGGGGTCAGAAATCTTGAGGCTCAGCCCATTCCAAGCCACGTTGTTCTCCTGGCCCATAGAAAAATAAACTCATCCAGCAGAAAGACAACCTTAATTCAGCCCAGTTCCACTGCTGCACAGGATGAACTGACTTGATGTGCAGTTGGCTGCATCTGCCAAATAAGTTTTTTGAAGGAAAACCAAAGGTGTTTAAAGACATCAAACAAATCCCAACCTCCCCACAGTGCTCTCCTTCCCCTTCCAGGACTCTCATTTCATATCAACAGTGTCCAGTCACACAGTGCTGGTGAAAGCAGCATCTGTGAACCCAGCACAGATGGAACCTGCTCTGCTGTGCAAAGAATGTGGGTCAAGCCCAACCCACCTCCAAAACCCAAGGGTAGAAAGGAGAACAAGCAATGCTGAAGTCTGTTAGCAAAGGGACGCTGAAGGGCAAAAAAAGGGACAAAATAAAGCAATCTCCTCTGCCAAATGGAGCTGATAACAGCTATGGTGTAACACGTCCATTCCTCCTTTGTCACCTGGAGGGAGAGGAGGTGACAGCCTCCAGATTGCGCCCGTGACTCCGGTGACTCCGCTTTGCAGCAGGTTTAGGACAACATTTAGCAAGTGCTTTTTGTGAAGGCTGCTAATGAGCAGCCTATAGTCCCAAGCTGATTTGGTTCTTTACAAGATAAGAAATTAACAGCTATTGTTCAGCTGCCAAACAATGCCACCCAAAAATACACCAAGTCCCTGGCTGTCCCCAGAGGTGAGGAGGTGACAGAAACTGCCCAGAACGAGACTGAAGACAGCTGCTGGCCACCAAAACCCAGCTACTCAATGTGAATACTTAAACAGCCCATCTAAACATACCTCCTCAGGTGTATTTAGACAGAGGACAGCTCAGAACAAGAGTGACACCTTGGGTTAAAAACCCATTTTGTCCGACCTAGCAGCTCCAAAATGACCGAGTGTTGTAGCTGTAAGGAGAAGTGTTAAAGCACAAAAAACACAGCCAAAGTGCTCTTCTTTCCTTAGTGCTGAAGTAGCCTTTAAATCCATTAAAATTAGAAGCCCCACTGAAGAAGCATAGCAATTGGACAGATCAACACAACGGGAAAGGTGTTACAACAAAGGTGTGATGATGGAAGGACCAGCACGATAGAAAGGTGATATAAAGGAAGGGAAGAAGATTGCTCATCCATGTCAAAAGACTCAAGGTTCCTAGAGGAAAGCTTCAAGTAGGGATCAGCAGAAAGAGATCCTTCCCACTGGGGGTCAGCCCTTAAATAAGGTCTGTCACCTCTCTATCTAGGAGAGGTGCAGCCAGGCTCCATCCCTTCCTGTCTCAGTGGTGAACTGCCTCCACCTGTGCTCTCAGGGCTGACCAGGTCCTTTCCCCAGGACCAGTGGTTCAGGCCCTGACTCAACAGTTCCCATACAAGAAGGAATGAGGGTTTTTTAAAAGATGAGCTGAGAAAATCATCTCTTCTACACGGAGCTGGATCCTAAAGGCAGGCAAGGGGCAGCAGGCTCAGCACTGGAGAGGATGAGGGAGCTTCCTAGTCTCTCCTTAGGAGATGCCAGCATGGGAGCTCTGCCCCACGCTGCCCCCAGAGCTCCCTATGGCTGGGCACCAGCATGGCTTCCTGCACACCAACACTGAACGGGGAAAAGGAGAAAGGGCAACTGGGGGTGCACCCATGGCCAGGGAGAAAAGCAGCATCTGAGCTTCCCAGGAAGCAAGTGAATTTCATAATGAATGGGAACCTGAGTTGCCCATGGCTCGGATGGACCTTCCAAAGTTCCTCCTTAACTCGGGGCTGTAACTTGCACACTACAGTGAGTGAAGACAGCTGAGGTCCAGGAGATCGCATTAAAATCCACAGCATTAGCATATGTGAGATGAATGCAGAAATCACAGCCGCAGTGTAGCACAACGGAGGAGCAATGAGCTGCCTTCAGACAGCAGCCATGGGCTGCTTTTGCAAGCAGGAGACAGGGCACAGGGTAGTTAATGATACAAGAAAACAGGAACATCCATACAGTAAGCAAATACGCATTTTTATGAGCAATAGCAAGCACCTGCTCGTTATTATTAATGATGCTTCTAAATGCAAACACATCTATGTGAGCGTTCTTGTTCACAGCCAATAATCAGAAACAAGGAAGAGGACAAGAGCCAGGTAGCTGCTCAATGAGCTTGCACACAGTAAAATGTTCTGCTTTATCTGCCTGGAGGCAGGCAGAGCTGCAGTCTGTGTATGAGAGGAGGAAGAGGAGAGGAGGAAGGCCCAGGAAGCACCACCCTGGAGCCCCGGGGTCCTCTCAAGCCCACTGAACCCTCCAGGCACACTCTGAGCTCACACCACCCACTTCTGGACCAACTTTTACACTACATCTCCCCTTTGCTGACAACAGAAACCAAACTTGGTGCACATTCAGCTCTCCTACTGGGCAAGTCATTTGCTTTGGTTAGCCAAAGATCAGTCGCAATTTTCAATGACACCAAGACTTGCATTTTATTGCTCTTTTGGTTTCTTTTTAACAACAATCAGCAGATCCTAAAAGATACAGCTCCAAAATATAGTATGCTCTCCTTCTGAAAGGCTATTTTTAGGAGGGAGCAATTTCTGTCGATCAGGCACATAATACATGACTTAAAGTAACTTGATTACACAATTATTCAATCATTTGGAATGCCTTTGTAGTGTATAATTACTCACTCAAAAATTGCATGCCCTTCCCCCCTCACTGCCATATTCAGACCAGAAGAAGGAAAGGAAAAGGAAGCTCTCCGAGTGCTAACATGGAAAGGCAGCGAGCTGAAATAGGCTGAGCTGCAAACAGCCCTCACATAGCACAGCTCAGCAAACTGCAGGGCTGCACCTCGGCAGCACCATGAACTGATGGTGCTCAGATGAGCTCCCAGCCATCCTGCAGTGCAAGGGTATTTACTGCATTTCCTTGGTTTGGTTGGTTAAAAGCAGCCTGGCAGTTAAAAGGGCATCAGAACCAGCAGTTTTTTGTGTTTGCAAAAGAAAAACTCTGGGAGCACACTGAGCTGTTGTGAATGTTTAGCACAAGCCCCTCTGCTGCCACTTCTGCAGGGTGATGTGGCACTGTGCTTTGTCCCTGCTGTTAGAACTGTACCTTGGGTCCTGCCACAGAGGCTGACCTGGGCAGAGCTCAGCCAGAGAGAGAAAAAGACGAGGGAGAACACAGGGAGATGCGGGTGGAAATCCAGCAGCTGCTGGGTGAGCCCCTTTCATTGCCAGCACAGAGCTGAGTGACCAAACGGCATTACAGCACGGGTCAGCACTGACATGCTGTAGTGGGGACTTCTTTTGTTCAGCTCTCACCTGATCTCCTCTGGGAACTGTGCGTTGGTAACCAGGAAGCTGGAGATGCCATGCTGGTGCAGGAGCCGCAGGAAGCGGTTGATGTCGGGGTACATGATGGGCTCTCCCACCAGGGACAGAGCGCAGTGCTTGGCTGCCATTGCCTCCTCGAAGCGCTCTGCCCTCACTCCTGTCACTCCTGCAAAGAGAGAGAAAGGGTGTAAATTACACACAGCATCCTCCCAGCTGAGTTTGAATCTGGAAGGTGAAGGTGCAGTGGAAGGCAGAAGGGTGCTCAGACGGCTGGAGCACCTCTCCTATGGAGACAGGCTGAGAGTTGGGGGTGTTCTGTTCTCTCTTCTGTGAGCCCTCACTGTGGCCTTCCAGTACTTGAGGAGAACTTAAGAGACAGGAGGGAAAGCGACCCGTTACATGGTTTGATAGTGACAGGACAAGGGGGAACGGCTTTAAACTAAACGAGAGGAGATCTAGGTCAGATGTGAGGAGAAAATTCTTCACCCGGAGGGCAACGAGGCACTGGCACTGCTGTGCAGAGCTGTGGGTGCTCCATCCTTGGAGGTGCCCCAGGCCAGAGATGGGCCCTGGGCAGCTTGAGCTGGGGGGCACCCAGCCCGCAGGTTGGAACTGGATGGGCTTTGAGGTTCCTTCCAACTCAACCATCCTGTAGCTCTATGATAAAATATACCCTGGCACCAGGTGATGCCAGTTGGAGCCATTCTGTACCACAGTGGACAGCAAGCCATGGCCAGAGAGACCCAACACAGCTCTGCAGGAGCCCGCACAGCAGTGCATGGCCAGGCACATGAGGCTCAGGGCTCAGTCAGCTGTCACAATCCACTCCAGTGACATGTGAGTCAAACTTCCCCTTGCTAAGATCTTGGTGAGGCTGCCTAAATGCTGAGACATGCATAGGAGCAAGCTCTGTGCCACTTCCAGCAGGCACTCACAGAAGTCACACCACGTTCTGATTCTCAGTCCTGCCAACCAGCCGCCCCATGAGAATAAAGCTCCCAGAGGAGCTGGGCACAGCTCAGCCACCAGGTCTGCTGGGCACAACCCAGAGGACGTGCCCCAAAGAACACCCAAATGTGAGCAGTCAGAGAAACTTCAGAGCAACAAGAAAAACGAGGAATCCAACTGCAGCATCCGTCTGCAGGTTTAGCAGATCTGAACTCCAATTATTCCACCCATGAGCAGGCAGGGGAGAGGGAAGGCTGCTCCATCCATACCCAGCTATGCGCTCAGGAGCCCCTATGAAGGCATCAGACTGCAAGCAAGCTTTTTGTTCCAGATGTGTCACATCCCATTTCCTCGGCGTGCCTTGATGGACTTGAACAATATCTGAGGTTTTGGGTTGGGGGTTGGTCTGCTTCAAAAAGCAAAGAGTGAAGTTTGAAAGCAGGTCCTCAGCTCACCTCCCGTTGCCTAGACGCTGGAGCTCAAACAGCACAGAAAATTACATGCTATGCTGCAAAGCCTAGATAAAAAAGAGGTGTTGGTGGATATTGCTTCAGCCTCACGCAGAAAAGCTGGTTGGTGATCAGAGTGAAGCTCAGCACATTGAAACCAGCCGGGCTTCGTCCTGAATAGGGACAGGACTAATGGCTGCACTGCAGCAACCTGACAGCGCTAAATGAGAGCTTTATTGGGAACTATTGGGAAAGAAAGGAGCATCTCAGCCACACACGGAGATGAAAGAACTGCCTTTTGTTTTTCTAGAGCTACTGTGGGTCGTTTGGGGAATTAACTTCTCTCTGTCTCAGCATCTGGCAATAGGACTGCAGTAATTACAGTGCCAGCTCTGGAAGAAAAATTCCAACATCACAGAGTTCAAAAGGAACTTTCTCAAATCAGTTTACATCACAGTGGCACATACAGCAAACACACCGCAGATGAGGGCAAGGGTTTTATATGCAATCATTTGCCCACATAAATCACAAGCTAGACAGGAGCAAAGCAAACAGGATTAGTGGGCATTGCTGCCTCCAGCTGCCATCCTACCAGTGCACGTGGATCAGGGAAACTAAAGCATGGCCCAGCACAGCCTGCTGGATGTGGGTGTCCCTTTGCAGCCTCCTGTGCCTGCGAAGCACAGAACACCAGTGTAGCATCACGCACAGACATTCCCAGATCTAACTTGAAGACCCCAGTGGGAACTGCTCAGAACACACCTCGTCCTGTAAGCCCGCAGGATTTCCTCTTTCAGGTCATGTGTTTGTGTCTATTCCTTCATTTTTCCCCCCAGCCAAACCAGGGCTGTGCTGTCACACATCCACTCTCTTATTTCTGAGTTATGTTTCCATTCCACGTGTGCCCTCCACAAGGGCACAGAGACTCACAGTCCCTACCTGCAAAACGTATCCATCAAACAAACTGCTTCACACCTCCCCACCTCCGCTCCCTGTCAGGAAGATGCCTCTGCAACAGTTCTTCTTTAGGAGAATGATGTGACATTAACTAACACTTACGGTCTCCAACACCTGCACAAACCATGGCAAACGTTAAAAGAGGAGGGAACACGTTTTCAGAAGCACACAGTGAGGTTCCTGCAGGACACAGATTGCCCTCTGGTTGTACTCTCACAACTCCTGGCCCAGGGTAACGCTGCTAGGAAGCACATGCACGTTTCAGGGAATGTCTGGCAATTGGTTTAATGGAAAATAAGTTCCAGAAGAGAGAACAGGACTGTCTTTGCAGAGCTCCTGACACTTTAGGAACAGTTCCTGCCAAATCACTCTGGAATCTTTCCTCCTCTCCAACGTTTTTTGAGAAGTGCAGTAAGGGGAGAAGCAGAACTGCAGAACTGCGGGGATCAGAAGGGATCTCTGGAGATTCTCCTGCTAAGGCAGGTTCCCTGCAGTAGGCTGCATAGGAAAAGTGTGAGCAAACAACCTGCTGTGATAGGAGCATTTGGTATAAAAAGCAAGCCTGACGTAGAGATTGCTGCCAATTGCTATTGCATCCAAACTGAGACAAGGCAAAACAGTGTCTGAGTTTCAGAAAGTGACAACAGTTAAGGGAAGATGGATTATTGTGAAGATAGTAAATTTTTATGCAATTTTTGTTTTCCCAAATATATCACACCGCAAAGGAAAACCATGGAATCACAGAATTACAGGGGTTGGAATGGACTTCAAGAGATCACTGAGTCCAACCCCCTTGCCACAGCAGGTACCCCAAAGCAGGTCACACAGGTAGGTGTCCAGACAGTCTTGAAGATCTCCATAGAAGGACATTCCACCACTTCTCTGGGCAACCTGTTCCAGTGCTCCATCACAGTCACCATAAAGCTCTTTTGCATGTTTGCATGGAACTTCCTACGTTCAAGTTTTAGGCCACGATGGAGGGTGATGGAGGCTCAGGCTGGTGCTCAAACACACACAGCCACAGACTGTGAGGTCATCAGCTGAGGGTTTGGGACACCAGCAAGAGACGGCTGCCACCTCACTGACTCTCATGTATAAATTTGGGCAGTGGCAGAGTCCAGTGTGGATTTGTGCCTGGACTCCAGCTGAGCATATCTGTAAGTCTCAGAGTACTGAATGAGGCCTTGGTGAGGTCAGATGATGATTACTTCAAGTGCCCTGCCCCACAGCACGCTCAGTCACAGCCTGCAGGATGAGCAGAGCTGATGCTCATTGCTCCTGAACTTGGCTTCCCACCCAAACTCTGGGCTGCCTTTTTCCAATGACATCCAAGAGATTTGGCATCCCTGCTCCAGTGGCTCCAACAAGAGGTCAGGAGGACCTCCAGTGATGGGTGGTGAGACGTGCACATGACACAGAGCACTGTGCTGGGTCTCCTCTGTGTGCACAGGCTCGACGTGCAATCTGTCGGTGTTGTGTCTGTTGCTGTTGTTTTAAGGAAGAAAGGTTTATTTCACAGTTTGAAGTTGGGTTTAAACCAACTCCCACACACAACTTTCAGGAGAATGCTGGGCTTCAAACAGAAGTTCCTTTGCAGGAACTTCTGGTTTTCACCGACTTGCTGTGCAAACACCACATTTCTGCCCTGCAGGAGCAATGCCTCCATCACACTGCAGTGCTTCAACACAGAATGCAGGAATTGCCCCTGGGTCATGCATCACTTTAACAGTGTGTTGCTTTTCTTCTGTGTGAATATAAACAAATATTTTGACTCAAGCCCTATCTGACAGAAAAGAAGATAGGGTGTTTTATTATTTGTAGGGCTTTGAGTTTGATAGGTGCAACACAAATCATGGAACCACTGCAGCAGGTGTCAGCTCAGGCTCCAGCACTGGCTGAGATGGTGACAGCTTTGCTTAGAAGCCTTGAAAACCTCCATGGTTGGAGAGTTGCTTACTTGAGGACATGTGCAAACATGCACTCCCTTCACTGGACAGCCTGAAGCTATCAAACAGCAGCCTGAGTCTGCTGCCCCTTGTTCACCCACAGCAGGTGGGTCTCCTGCCAGCAGATGGTGGTGAGGACATCTTCACACAGACCTTTCCAATTCAGGCTGAACTGCACACAAATCCCTGTGTTCAGTCCAACAGTCAGGTTTCCAGAGTTCTATTGAAGCAGAACCTTGCTGCTTAGTGTGCTTCCCACCCCCTCGAAATTAGGAGTGCTTGCAATGCTGCTGAGTGTGCATTCAGTCTCACCATCCATTCACTGAGATCACAGAATCACAGAATGGCCAGGCTTGGAAGGGACCTCAAGGATCATGAATCTCCAACCCCCCTGCCATCAACCTCCCCATCTCATAGCAGCCCAGGCTGCCCAGGGCCCCATCCAGCCTGGCCTTGAACACCTCCAGGGATGGATGGGGCACCACAGCCTCTCTGGGCAGCTGTTCCAGCATCTCACCGCTCTCGTAGTAAAGAACTTCCCCCTGACATCCAACCTCAATTTTCTCTCCCTCAACTTCAAACCATCTCCCCTTGTCCTGCTGTTATCTCCCCTTTCAAAAAGTTGATTCCCCTCCTGTTTGTAGGCTCCCTTTAGGTACTGCAGGCTGCACTGAGGTCACCCTGCAGCCTTCCTTTCTCCAGGCTCAACAAGCCCAGCTCCCTCAGCCTATCTTTGTAGGGGAGCTGCTCCAGCCCCCTGATCATCTTTGTGTCTCCTCTGGACCCTCTCCAACAGCTCCCTGTCTTTCTTGTACTGGGGCTCCAGACCTGGACACAGCACTGCAGATGGGGCCTCACAAAAGCAGAGCAGAGGGGGACGATCACCTCCCTGTCTCTGCTGGCCACCCCTCTGCTGATGGACCCCAGGACACCATTTGCCTTCTGAGCTGTGCAGCACAGGCTCCTGGATCAACACCTGAATCGCCCCGCATGTTATCAGCCACCAACCAGACCTGAACCCATTGAGCACAACCCCTTCAGCCTGCCAAGACACTTTCAACTCCTTTAAGAGCCTGGCTGCCAGAAGCAACCCAGCCCTCCACACTGCACGCACACAGCAGCACGGCTGGGTCTCCTGGCTGCTCTCCCTGCAGCTCAGAACGGGAGCTCCTAGGGATCTGAAACTGCAAGATGATGCAAACCAGCCCCTGTGAGCAGCAAAGCTCATGAGGCCCCAGCTCCAGTTATTTTTCCACCTACTGCATAAGTCCAATGAATGAGGCAGAGCAACGCTGCTCCGCTGACACGAGTTTTTTCGCCTGTCACATTTTTAAGCCATTGGGTTCTCTTTGCACACAGCCAACGTAAACAAACGGGTTCCCAAAACGACAGCCAAGGCTAAGGCTCCTCTTGCACTTTTAATGGATGCTTCATTTCACTCCTGCTGCTCGCACAGCCTCTGCTGTCAATTAGGAGGAGCAGAGTTCTAGACCTGTCCTGCCAAGCTGGTCGGCACGCTGAGCACAGGGCTGACCCTGGCAGGGTGACCATGCTCACTGCTTGGGGAGAGAAGAATAGAAGAAAGCAAATATTTCTATACGTACAGCTGAAAAGCAAATAAATGAACCCATAAGGATTTGATAATGGAAGCAAAATACAGTAATTTGCAGATCAGCGAATAACTGCAGCTTCAGTTGCACACAAATACACTGAGTAATCCTCAAAAATAATAACCTGAATATTACTGCTCACTTATTAATGAGGAAAATCTAGAAGTTTCAGAGGTAACAAAAGCTTCTAGTGGAAGCTTCTAGCCCAGACAATGTATTTCTTACTTGTGTTGGATATCAATCCCTCTTGCATTCCATCTGCTCTCACTTTGACATAAGAACAATGAAATCACTCATCACCCAGGTGAGCTTTAACTGCTGTGGAAGCCTCAGGGCACACAGAGGGACATGATGTCACAGCTACCAGCATGCACAAGAGGCAGCTCCAGTCTGCTCTCTCAAGGCAGGGGTAGGCACTCAACGGCTGACCCAGGTTGTAATGACAAAAACAAGGCAAAACTTTGCTAAAACCAAGCAGTAATCATGCCCTCGAGGTCTTCCCACCTTCTGAGATCATAGATCTTATGCCTCTTTCTGTCCTGCAGGTGACTAGGATGCTCTGATCTAAGCTCTAAAGATGCTTCTGCATCTTCAAACAGCGTCAGTGATGGGAAGAGAAGTTAGTTACCTTTGAACTCCTTGATCATGTTCTGATGATTCTCAAGAGCTTCCCTCAAGATCATCTCAGGTTGATCCATTTTCCATCGCCACTCCGTGCCCACGGGATTTGTATGATGTCTGGAGGAAAAAGAGACCAGAGTGACTCGCTGCAGTTTGCACAAACCCGTCTGTCACCCTGCGGACTCTGGCACTGCTTAATAAAATTAAAAGCAGCAGCAAATTATCTGCAGGATCCTTCTGACAACTCTCAGATGTGATCGCTGGACACCACTCTCACGTCCTCCTCCTCCCACTCCCCGGTCTCCCCAGGAAGAACAGGAAACACTGCAGCCCAGTATCAACATTGTGCATCTATTTGTAATCGTGGGTAAAAGGTTTATGAGAAGTCAAATGACGCCCTGCAGTCAGCAAGACCTCTTCAAGGAAAGAAAAATCCACTCTATCTCCTTTTCTAGTAACAGCTACACAAAGCACTCAACAAGGAAGATCCTAAGCCCCTCCTAAGTTCCATTCTGGAGGTACTGAAGGAAAAGGTTTATTCCTAAGCCAATTCCTGGTTAACATTCTAGTAAGAAGACAAATGAGGGCAGGCTGCACAACGGGGGCCTGCAGCATGCCAGAGCTGTGTCTCTGGTGGATGTGGTTGGGCTCCCAGCTTTACTCAGCAGGAGCTCCCATCACTTCTGAGATCTGCAAGCTAACCAGCTACTGACACTCAAATGCAGACAGATTGCAGAAACCACCTCATGATCCTTCTAAGGAACAGCTGTGTCAATCTGGGTTTGGAAATCAATGTTGCCTATGCAGAAAGCACCACTGTACTCACATTTTGCTTTCCTCAAAAACACAAAAAGCCCACGCAGGGAAATCCACCACCCAAGTGCATGGAAGGTACCTGAAGCTTCTCCTCTTTATTCTTTGGCACAAGAGGATGTCACCACACCATTAGCAGCCACCTTGATGAACCTAATCAGGGATTGGTGACTCTGCACACAGCAGGGGGTTGAAACTGGACAATCATTTTGGTCATTTTCAACCCAGGCTATTCTATGATTCTAATCCAGGCCAGCAAAGGAAATGCCCCAAAGTGGTGTGCTACCAGCGTGTGCCTGCATTGGACACCACAGCCAGGCTGTGCACAAGCATGGACCTTTCGCTGGTGAGGGGCATTTCACAGGATCTAAAGGTTGGAAAAGATCTCCAAGATCTCCAAGGCTAAGCGCAACCCACCCCCCCCATGCTGACTGCCCACAACCCTCAGTGCCACATCCTTCTGGTTCTGGAACACCTCCAGAGACCCCACTGCCCCCTGGGCAGCTCTTTTGGAGAAGAAACTCTTCCTCGTATGCAGCCTGATTCTTCTGGTACAAATTAAAGCCATCACCCCTTCATCTGAAACCTCTCGTCCCAGGGACCTTGCTGCACTCATGTCAGTACCAAACAGGGATAGGAAGGTGCCTACAGGATGCACTCAGAACATCAAAGAATTCCTGCACTTTCAACTCCTTGTTCTCTGCCCTCTCATTTTTTTCCTCTGAAACTACAAAACTTTCTCCACTTCTCCCCTCCTGATTCTACTGCGGCTCATGGAGTAATGTATTAAGAAGAGCAGCATGTATTTGCTGTCCTTTTCCAAACAGCACTACTGGATTAACCCAGGGCTGGGCAAGAAAACATCAAGCAGCACCTCCTATTGCAAGGCAAATCTCTGATCAGCTGATCTGTGCTGGGGTCAGCCATGGGGAGGACTGGCAGCTCCTGCCTTGCTCTGCCTTCCAGCTCCAAGGCCATTGGGATGTGACAGCCAGCACACAGCAGGCAGGGCACCTCTTCAGAAGGAAATGGCTGCTTCAGTGCCTCCTGGAGACAAGCAAGACTCCCACTGATTTCCCCACATGATTAAAACCTGCAGTTCCACGCTTGGGCTGTGCTAAGACAGATTCTAAACCCAACATCAACAAAACCAACCTCTGCAAGCACCTCTTTGTCCACAGGGAGAGCAAAGACCCAAATGCTGCTCTCACATTGTTATCATCTCACAGATCCTTCAAGCCATAGCAGCCTTCCTCTCTAATTTTTTATTTGCTGCCAACATGGAAAATTTTCTGAATACCAACTATAAAAAGGCATTTATAAACCACTTACATGTTTAACTACATAGCTTGTACCCTATATATTTAACAGGGCAAGCTGGCAGGAAATCAATAGGCTCTTAATGCATGCTGGACAACTATTAATTACCAGCGCCAAGCAGTCCTTGCTTTTCTAACACATTCCAACTGCTCACAAAACATACCAAGTCGTGCCTGCAAAGCAGCTCAATGGCAAACAGCAGCTTCTCCTTTCCTAGGAAACAAAGCACTGTTTGGTGGCTGATGGGATCACTGCAAAGGCCATGACACAGCCATTCCCTTTCCATACCTCTGAGTCATGCATCCCACCAGCTACTTGGGTCCTGGGCAGGTAATGGGGCATCACTTCTCAGCCTAAAATAACTTCAGGCACACACCAGAAAACCCTCACTATATTAGAAAAGGAAAACGTTGCTGCTGGAAAATAGTGAAAGCACAGGGCGTGTGGTTCGTAGGAAGGGATGGGAGGGAAAAAGCAGAACAAAACTAAGAGCTGATGACTGCAGGATGCAGTGAGCCCCAGAGCCAGCAGGTGAGGTTCCAGAGGAGAGAGAAAGGCTTAAGGGCAACGAGTTCCAGGGAACTGGCAGCTTTCGAAATCCTATTAAGGCAGAAGTGCAAACTGTGGCAATAAAAAGCAAAGATAGAAGTGTAACAAGAAACCAATCTGGCAGAATCACAGCGCTGCTGCAACCTTGCAGCACTCCATCTGAAAAGAACAAAACCACAGGGTCACACTCAGAGGTCAAGGCACAACAACCACGGGATGCATAAAAGGGCCAGCAAGAAAGACCTCCCTATAATGACATGGGGAGCAAGCAGATGGCCAAGGAAGAAGTCCAGCCAACGCACAAGGACAAAGTTTAACGTTTCTCTGTTAAGCCAAGAAAACTGCTTGCACCTCCCAATGGCAAAGGGGAAAACAGGGAGAGGTGATGAAAAGGACAGGTAAACAGTGAACATCTCAAAGTGCTGCCACAGGGGTGGATCCCAAACTCCTCAGTGCACTGGATGGACCGGCTGACAGGGCACCACGAGAAATGCTTGAGGGCAGCACACAAGAGTGATTTCTGACACTGTGAGAGAGCGAATGCAGTGCTTCAGCAGGAACCCCTGCACCAGCCCCCTGTAACTCCTTGCTCCTCAGGACACATGGGAACCAGAGGACAGCACGAGGATGAGCAGCAGCCAACTCCGATCTGTTGAGAACGTCTTACGCCAAGATTAAGAGAGGGAAAAAGGAAAAAAGAAGAGGCCGAGCTTTTGATTTATCCAGTGTTTTAATGACCTGAACAAAGAGACATTATCATGGAGGCAGTGCAATTCTGTGGTAGAGCTTATGGACACAATGGAAAACTCCAACCAGAGATGTGCCACCACTGGATCAGAAGGATGAGAGACCTGGCCCAAGGGGCATCCCCAGGGCAGGGCACCAGGCTGCAGCTGCCCAGCAGCAGAACCCATACACTGGGAGATGCAAACCCATAGGAAACACACGCAGCTAGCAGCAGATCATTACACTGACATCATCACCATAGCAGTGGTGACAAGCAGTCACAACCCACAACTGGCCACAAGACAGGCAAGCACAGAGCTCAGCAGTGCTTACACACAACGCTCTGTGCGTGCACAGCAAAAGCAATAGCAGCCCTGAAAGCAGAGCAAAGGAGATGGCTGGGGATGTGGAGCACCTGCAGCAGGCTGCAAGCATCAGGGCTTCCTGCCCCTGGGCACAGCAAACACAGTTTTATTTTCTATTTATCTTCTGAAAATCAGCTAATGCTCACTTCAGATAGGAGCAACAATTAAAAAGCACCTTTTTAAACTGTTACCTGAGGATAAAAGCACAGAATGCACCTACAGAAACTTCCCATTCAATTGCTGGGTTTTTTCCCCCCACGTTGCTCCATCTTTTGCTGGTAGGCTTAAGAGAACAACAGCTTATAATGAATAAACAGAGGAAAACAATAAAAGTTTTTCAAAAGGCTCAGAATGATTCCTACGTGCTGATAAGTTTAATTAACACAAAAGAATTAAGTCTATGTCAATCACTGGATATCTAAAAATCATTTTAAGAGCGACATGATGTTCACTATTTTCCAAAAGTGAAACTAGGACTTGACATGTTTTCAAATCAAATATAATTTTCTGAGACAGCTGAAAAAGGCATGGGTTGATTTCTTTTTTTTTTTTTTTTTTTTTTTTAAATCAAAATCAAGTTACTGACTACTATAAGCAGCCACCTATGACACCTGCCAAGACATGAGCATTCCAGAGGCAGTGAGCTGGCTATATTCACTGAAGCAGTGAGTATTTACATTAACAACAGCTGCATGTCCAAGAGTGCACATACAGCACGATGAGAAGCAGAGATGTCAGTCCCAGACATTGCTGCCAGGATTCTTTTCCACCCCATCACGACCCTTCTGCATGATGATGGAATCAAGGCTCCTCACTGCGCAGCATGTGCTGGGAATCCCCCATGGCAGATGCTACTGTTGGGTTCCAGTAACCTTATGGTCATCTAGAGTGACCTTACCTCCACGTCAGATGCACATAAATAAAAAGCAGGGAGTAGCAATCTTACTGTAAGAGGAGCCCTCAGCCTGAGCACAAATTCAGCCTGCTGTACACGTCAGCTGAAGCCTCCCAGCACAGGCATAAACACTACAAAAGTTAACAGAAATACAAACCAAATTCTTTATGGAATATTTTATTCTGCCTGATTTGCCTCCTCCTCGGGTCCAAAATAAACGAGGTTTAAATTAATAGGCTTTATTAGCTGCTCCATCTCTCCACAATAATGGATCGTGTTTTAGACGCTCAGCCAGAGGACATAATCAAATCAGGTTTGGATTGCAACACAATCACCAGCAGCATCAGGCAGCCTCAGTCCCACACTCGCCCTAATTGATTAAGAGATTTGGTCACTCGCACATTTCCATTTAGACAATTAAGCTAAAGAGGCACTACAGACAGCAAGAGCAACTGGGAGCAACAATAACAGACAGCAGACTATTTTTATAGGGAGAGCTATGAGTTAGGGACGGTGCAGTAATTAAAGTCTATTTGTTTTGTTGTTTGTTTTTTTTTTAACCCCCTCTTTATTCTTACTGCAACAGCCTCAGCAGTTCAACCCACAAAGCAACGATAGAGAAATAAACAAAAAAACCCACAGTGCTCTGATCTGCTGCTCAGCACACCGAGCTGCACAACGAGGCCAAAGCATAAAGCCTCCATTAAAACATTTTGCCAGCAGCAGATCAAAACTATCACTTCCCATGTCCCCAGCAGCACAGATGGTGGCTGCTAATAAGGTCTGTGTTCATACAGCCCAGCCACTGGTGCCTGGGATGCCGCCTTCAGCCTCGTGGGATTAAGAACCTGCACAAAGTGGTGGGTTTGAAGTAAAGCTACTGCTTCCAGGACTCCTCTTAAATGTGAGGAATGATGCCTCCAGAACGATGGGCTGGAGCTGCATAGAAGGTACCACACACAGCTATTTATCCCAATTCACAATTGGCGTCTCTAATTTAGCCCCATTCTCCAGACACAGACTGCTGCTAAAAAAAATAAATAAATAAAAACCAGCAGAGTTGGGTCATTTTGAAGAGGAGCAGTGTTAAATGGCCTGCAGTACAATACCAGGAAAAAAAACCCACTTCATTTTGGTGATGTTATTGCTTTTTATTTGCTGTTTATGGTGTACCGTCTGTGTAGGGACAAAGGGACAATAATACACATGGCAACCTTGCCCCATCAGCACAGACAGAGCTGCAGAATTCAATGCACCATTGCAAGCTGATAGATGGAAAAAAGGAACAAGCAGTATGTTTTTCTTCAGTCATCAGATTGTTATTACATACTCTGAAGAAAAGTGGCAACACTTGCACATTAAACATGCCATTTACTGTGTCCTTTCAAGCCAGGAAAGGATGAAAGCCCATCAAGAGAACCAATTAACATTCTGGAATAGAGTCCCAAATGCAAACTTAACTGGATAACTACTGCCTGATGCTTATACTTAATATTAACATGGGAGACAGCTTCAAAGTGCATTCAGAATTACAGCCATACCTCTGCATGGATGCTGTCGTTTTAATATCCTCATGAAATATTTGCATTATTAGAGCTTGAAGATTGAAAAGATGGGAAAGGCTTTGGCTGTTTTGGCATGAAAATAGTGGCACGTTGGACACCCAGGCTTAGGGATAGAACAGCTGCTCCTGGCAGCCAGCCCCCCATAGCAGACTTAAATAGCAGAGGATGTGCAGCCCCCGTGGTTTGAAATAGCTAGCAAAGTAGGAGACAAAAGAGCTGAAAGAATAACGTGTGTCCACCCACTCAGCACACTTCCACGTCACCACTTTTATTTCTGCCAAGCCTCAGAGATCCCCTCTCACATCCCCCAGTCCAGCAGAAGCCTCCCTCCAGCATCCAGGCATCTGGTGAGTGGGGCAGCTCACAGCCCAGATCCAGGCAAAGCTTCAGAGAAGGACAAGGAAGCAATCCCTCTGAGAAAGGGGTCACTTCACTAAGATGCAAGATTATTTATCAGCTGCTTTACAAAGCAACAGTTGGTGAAGTCATCACATTTCACTCACTGAAAACGTGACTGAGTTGGTGGGCAAAGGTATTTTAAGGAAGAAACAGGATTTGATTTCAGAACAAAAGTACTTGCAACGTTTAGCACGTCAGTGGCTTTGCACAAGGCGAGAGCTCATCCTTGCTCTCCAAAGCTCTAGCCATCTCAAGAGGGAAACACGTAACGAGGGCTGACACCTGCCAGCTCGTTCAGAGCAGGGAGCAGAGGGACACACGGACTGCACTCTCTCTGTCTACCCAACTCCTTGATTTCACCTTCCACTGGTATCCAGCACATCTGAACTTGCTGGGGCCCAGAACATAGACACAGAGGACACTACTCTAGGCAAGGGGGCACTGGGGAGCCCTCAGACCCAATTCACTGGGAGTTGGAATTGGATGATCTTTAAGGTCATTTTTCCAACCCAAGCCAGTCTATGATTAAATCCCAGAGATGGGCAGCCCACGGCAGCCCCACCAGTCCCAGCCCAGGGGCCTCACAGCACTCAGAGGAGAGGGGAGCAGAGCTCCCTGACAGCAATGGAGTGGCTCAGAGCCCAGCTGGCCCACACAGGGCTGTCCAGAGCAGGGCGCAGGTTTAGCACCGCACACACTGCTGCTTGGGCTCTGCCCCTTGCATTGCTATGCCACGAAAGACCACAGACACAGGGGTAACATGGCATGTAAGCAGGTGACCTCTCCCAAAGCAGAGCTGCTCCAGCACTTTACCTCCAGCAGAACACGCATTTGTTGGCGCAGGCCAGGCTCGGTGTGGCCTCCATGCAGCGGTGGCTCTCGATTCCATAGAAGGTGTGCTTGTAGCAGCCACCTCTGCCTCGGAGCATCGACTGCAGCAGAGAAAGAGACACACAAATACAAGAAAGGCTTTAAAATCAGCTCCCTGGGCACATTTAATGTGTTCACTTGCACTGGTGTCCAAAGTCACCTTGTGATGGGTGCTGCAGCCATGGAGCAGCTCAGAGAAACGACAAATGCACTCCAGCTTAACAAATTCAAAGCATGATCAGCATACAGCCCAACTGCTTACATACAGCTGAACAGAAACAAGGTATTGTGGTGTCAACATTAACTGCCCTAGAGGAAACTTAAGTGAAATCAATACCTTCTCACTTGTAACACCAAAGCGTAGCAGGGTGCTTTCAACTGAATTAGCCAACACAGGAAGCAAGTGAAGCTACTTAGGCTGTAAGAATTACTGTACAAGCCCAATAAAGAGTAACGAGGGTCAATGTAATGGCTGCTCTATGAAACACTCAGCTCTTCCAGATTTTTGTGCAGAGTGCTTCTTCTAGCCTCCCATTAAAAGATACCCTGCCCCTCCAAACCCCCACTCACACCACTGGCCCCAGCAGGACACTGAGCTTCCTGCCCAGAGCTGCAGACACCTTCTCACCACGCTCTTCTCCTGCTCAGCACGCAGGGAGCAGGGACTGTCTTCCATGATCTCAGTTTAATAATAATAAATGTGAAAGGTTCTTCAATGCTCTCCGGAGAAAGTGTGAAATATGGCTGTGTAACTTTCAATCTATCTTCCTCTACGTGAAGGGTCCTAGCGATGCAGAAACAGGTCTGCAGTGAGCTGTGGGGGAAGAACAGAGGCATTGCCTGGCGTACATAAAGCACTGCATACAGGTGAGACTGAACGGAATGGAAAATGCTGTTTACTCCGTCCATCCCTCCAACCACAGATTCCAGGAGACTCCAATCCCAGCAGAGCAAGCTGTCTCACAGATCTCATCAAGGCGGCAAATCAGACTCTTCCTTACATTTGCAGGTTCTCTGTTCTTTCCAGAATCCAGCAGACACTGATTTCAAACTGAGATAGCACTACAGAGCTTTCTGTAACACTCCTCCTTCCAACCCTGGCTTGTTTCTCACTGATACAAATCCAGACCAGCCCTCCTGAAGGCACTCACACACTGGTGTGAATCTGAGTCGACGCCACTGCCTGTAATCAATTTCAGCTCCATTTATTAGAGCTCCTTCTATTCAACTCCTGCTTAAGCTAAAAATAGGAAGGGCCTATCTAAGCACACAGAGCTGCTATTTATTTTGTGAAATGGCTTTACAGTGCTGCATTACATTTCAGTTCTTTAATAAAAATAGGTTCTCTGGTTCTCTCTCAGCCCCAGTACTGACGAAGCCTGACAAGTTTTCCTTTAAACATTTCACGGCCTTCCCTGGCACCAAGAACAACAGAGAAGAGAAATATTTGTCAGAGCAAACAGCAGAAGCATTGCTGGGATCAGCACGCCTCAAATGTTCCTGACAATACAGCGGTGGGCTTGCTAAGCTGTTCACAAGGCGCCTTTGATGAGACAGTTCATTGATAGCAAGCATTAAATAAAGCCTCACTGCAGCCACCCACAGAGCTCTTCTCAAAAATAAACAAAGTTAATCACGTAGCAAAAGAGAGCTGAGACCAGGAACTGATTGCTGCCACTGCACAGGAGTCAGCTGGCACTCTGATGAGACGCTGATTCCCAGTTTATCGCCCTGTGAACGCCGACAGCTTCAGCATGTTAGAATCCATTCTACTCCTCAAATGCACACCCTTACAGAGCAGCTTTCAGCATGCGAGCTGTGAACTGCTTCTCAGGGACCTGCAGAGGACAGCTGGAGCAAGAAACAGAGCAAACTTCACCTGCTTTGCTAAGTTTGCTATATGAACCTTCCAAGGGGAAGAAGAGCAGAGGAGTGTTGCCAACCAGATGCATCAGCTACAGAACCACAGGTCTGAGTACCCACATGCCACCTGAACATAGCGACGAGCTGTGCTGCCTTTGTCTCTCAGGACCTCACACCTCTGATGCAATCTTCCCACTTCAATGCGTGGCATTCCAGTCCTGTCCTGCATCTCTGTAGGCAGCAGGGATTCCAAACAGAATGGACAAACAGAAACAGTGATCTTTCCCAGCTCTCTGCTCATGTTCCGACTGCTGGCAGCGGGGCTGTAATAGCCTGACATGCAGAACTAGAGCTCGGGAAGTGAAGCGTCGTCTTGCAGGTAACAGAGCATTTTCAAAGGGTATTCCACCTGGAAGCTGTATACTTGTATAGCTCTAAGAAATAAGTCTCTAGCTTTCAACTTATAAACAGAGAAAAAGTGAAAGAGCATACCTTTGTCCACCGGCACAGCTTCACTCCAGAATGGCTTCCTATCAACTTATAGCCTGAAAACAAGAGGTGAACCAAACCATCAGTTTTAATCTGCAGTAGCTGATACATGAAACAACGAAGTGCTGCACAAAATTAAGCATCTCCATTCTCAGTGCTGCTCCTCCCTGCTGGCACAAGCAGGACACAGCAACGCGGTGCCCATGCTCACCCACCTGACCCTGTGAGCCCATGCACTGAGCCAACACGTGGTCATGCAAGGGATGTGGTCAATGGGAAGTGTTTTTCTCCCCATGGGATCTATTTGTACTGCTGGGTTCTGTTTGAATCAATGGAGGGAGCTCAGGACTGCATGGAACAGGTATGGGACACCTGCACTGACCCCAAGGGTTGGCACGTGGACCCAGCAGCACATCAGAGCAAGCCTGAGGAACACCATGTCATCCCATGCAGCACAAGGGTGAGGAAAGCACTGAGATGGAGGGCTAAGTGTGAGCCCAAGCACCAACAGCTCAGCAGATTTACCACCTCTACCTCTGGGGCACAGCCCTGGTGAACAGCTCTGCAGGCAGCTGCTCCCCACACCTGCAGGAAGCTGGTCTCACACCATTTCCCAGCCAAAACCAACAGAATTTTATTTATTGGCCCACATGGATTAATTCCACAGTATTCATTAAGCACTAAGTACTGTTATTACCCAAACTGCTTGAGTTAGGTTATTCTCCTCTTCGAAAAAAAAAAAGTACTTAGAGACCAATACATCTGGAGGATTAAAAAATACACAAATCAGCATAAAAATGTGAGGGATTGGAGAGCCTCACAGTGCTGTTCACACTGCAGCACTGACATGTCAGCGTGGCCTGGCTGCCCAGACCAGCACATCTCCACCGGCAGCAGGAGGCCGATGCTTTCATTAACACTTCCAAACAAAATCATACTTTAGGTACCCAGCATCCCTCCTGCCAGGGCAGGGACCTCCTGCCCCTTTTCCCACTTTAGGCTGTTTAGGGACTGATGGCTGCATTAAGAGAGGCTGCAAGGACTTCAGGCTGCCCCCAAGAGCTTCATCTGCCCTCCAGCTCCACAGGAGCAGGTGGTACTTCAGACTTCAGCCCCTGAATGAGCAGACCTCAAAACCCTGCATGCATGTTCAGGGTTAAGCAGCGATGCAAGCCAACAAGCCTTGACATTTTACATCCTTTCCTGGAAAAGGAACGCTAGCCAGAGCTTCTCACTAGGAAGTGATGCTCTGCAAAGCCTCAGGTTTGCAGACACCATCTGCGACTGGATGCAACCCAGTAGACCATAGCAGCTTCCAGCCGACCCCTGCCTGAGAACTCAGCACACAGAGCTGCATCCTATTACCTCTTCCCATTCTAGACCTCTCTTACATGTTTCTCCTGCAGTTTTCCACAAACAGCCTTGCCCAGCAAGTAGCCCTTGCTGACTGACTGATCCCAACTGACACCTCTGTGTCACTCAAACTCGTGTCCCTGAAGGATCAGATGAACACAGAGAAGGGCAGTATGTCCCTCTGACACAGCTGCCCCAGCCAGGCTTTGTGCTGCTATCAGCCACCACCATCCTCTATTTCCCACAACCCAGCAACAGCATCCATAGATTATTCTCTTGTAGATCATTTGTCAGCAGAAGTAACACGGCTGCTTTGAAACAAGCATTAGTTTAGAGTTAAACAGGAAATAGGGTATGCTTGCCCAAATCCACTGAGCTGTTTAAGGGAAGACAGGAGGCATCTGAGCTGAGCACGGTGCCAAACCCCACAGCCCAAAGCTGCAGCACTCTCTTTAAGTTGATCAGATCTACTTCCAGCACACGGAGTGCCCGCAGCACCTTGTAAAGGCCAATGTGTAACACCAAACCAGAGCCTTACAAACTTCAGCCAGCTTCAGCAATACAAAGAAGTTTACTCACCCTACGTGCTGCTGCCAGGAGTCACAGCTGTGGTTACTGGAAGAAGCCACACATTTGCAGAACTTCTTATGAGCACTGTATGAAGTGCCTGAACTCAGCTCTTCATTGCACAGGGAGCATTGGTGGGAGCATGGTTACCCTGCTAAGCACTACAGCAAGCTGCACATGAACACTCAGATCAAGTATCAGTGACAAAGCCTGACTCTCTGCACATCTACTGCAGGTGAGCAAAGTTCCTTTGATTTGATGAGCCCGTTTCTTGAAGTATTTAACTGCTGGCTTGCAACACAGGCAGCAAAGCAGCTTGAAGAGCTCTAAGAAAAATGGAAAGGGTTATGTGGGAACCAAAAGTGCTGAGTTTCAAATCGGCCATGGGAGAAAGCAAGACAGAGAACCAGGCAGAGCCTTCTCACTCTGTTTCCAGGGCTCACAGAACACCATCTACTGCTTAAGAGCAAACCTAAGTATTACTTGTAAGCAATAACAAACAAGTGAATATTTGGATGCAACACCTTCCAAACAACACAATGTGTTTTCTCAATCTGTGCATATTCAAATCCTAAGGCTCTACAGCATCTCTCATATTCGAAATGCTCATTATTACTTAACCTGTAAACTCTACTCGTGACTAAAGGCACAAGAATCCCAGATCATAAGTCTATTTTAGCTGATCCCACACTAGATAATAAGTGTTGAATTGACCAAGACACTCACCAAGCTTCACTGAAATTCAGTGTCACTATCACAAAAATTTGAATTAAGTTTTTAAACAAGCTTTTGGGTGAAATTAGTTTCATCAGGCAATAACACAAGGCCAATAAACATTTGGTGACTGCTTGACCTGAGAATCCAACCCAAGTTTAACAGACCACAGGCAGACTTTTAGCTGAGATGGCCACTGTCGCAGATGGCGAATGCTCCATCATTAGTGTAAAACACGTCTGCAGCTGTTTAGGATCATAATGCAACTTCAACTCCATCATGTAAACAGTTGGAAAGGTTCATTCTCCAAAATCCAATCCACTGTCTGAAAAAGTGCACCTGCAATGGTCACGCTACACAGCTTGAGACTCCCCTGGCTGTCACAGAACCCTAGAATGGCCTGGGTTGAAGAGGAGCACAGTGCTCATCCAGTTCCAACCCCTGCTGTGTGCAGGTCGCCAACCAGCAGCCCAGGCTGCCCAGAGCCACGTCCAGCCTGGCCTTGAATGCCTGCAGGGATGGGGCATCCACAGCCTCCTTGAGCAGCCTGTTCCAGTGCCTCACCAACTCTGAGTGAAAAACTTCCTCCTCATATCCAACCTAAACCTCCTGTGTCTCAGTTTAAACCAATCCCCCTTGTCCTATCACTACCCACCCTCATAAACAGCCCTAACAGCTATCCTGACACATCAGTGTCCAGTGGAAAACCAAAGGCACCTTACCTTTCAGAACAGCCCCCTACACTAAAAGCTTCCTTCAGCTGAAGCCTTTGAAAGCACAGAGCAGAAGATTTAATTATGAAAGAATGAAGCAGATGACTGGCTGAAAAATCCCCCGGAGGTGCAAAGCCTTTGCCACGCTCCTCTGAGAACACAGCCACTGCACGCCTGCTAAAAGCCAATCTGATGTCATATTATGCTTCAAAAACCCAAATGACTTTCACAAAGCTTGCTTCTGAGAAACAAGTACTGCACAGTACTGACAAACCAGCACAGATCTATCAAGCCATCTCCTTCAATAAGTCTGTTGGAAGCGGTATTATCTGTTAAAGCTGTGAAACAGTGAAGAAAAGGGAACTCCAAACCAGGGCAATGCTTACAGGAAAAAAATTCCCACTTCCGTGTTGTTTTGCACAAGAGCTGCTTAACAGGTCAGCAACACAGCAGCAATCCATCAGCTCCGCTCGAGGGATCGCCCCGAAAGCTCTCCCACAGCTGCTGCACTCGGGCCACCACTGAAGGCAGTGATCTGATTAAAGCTGGAGAACGAGCAAGAAAAACATGAGTGTGGTTTGTGAAAGGAACCTGCTCACATTTCATCAGCATTTTATGCTGAAATAGAAGTGGGATCTGGGAAGTAGAATTTCTCTGATGGTCCAAGCATGGCTGGAAAGACCTCCTGTTTTCTGTCCCAGGATCAACTCTGCAGGCTTTTGTTGGTGCTGGTTTAAAAACCTCCTTTGAAATGGAAGAAACTGCTCTTAAAAAGTACCACAGGCTTGGGAGCTGCAGGAAGGTTTTGCCTGCAAGTTCTCTTTCCTTCTCCAAGCTGGTGAGAAAGGATTGCAGGGCTGTACCTTACATACACAGAAACACTACAGTTCACACCAAACTTTGTCCACTTTTATCAGTGGAGCTGCTGAAGTGTCACGTACGATGAGAAGGATGTGGAGGAGCACAAAGAACATGTTGGTTTTTTACTTATTTAACTTGCAACAAAAGGCTGCTGAAGTTGCTGGAAGAATGACTGCTGCCATGGTAGGCAAACAAACCTGACCTGCTGTCATGAAAGTGGGACCAGCAAAGCCCAAGGACGGCAATGCCAGCAGCTCTGTGAGTCCAGCACCAACAGCTGAGAGCCAGCAAACAACCTTCACACTTAAACCGGGATGTCCATTGTAACCCAAGAGCACATTTCACTACAGAACTGCCAAAGCTTCCAATGCTTAAACACATTATTTCTGATCAAATTATGATTTTTGACCACTGGGACCATTAGTATTTTCACCCGCAGCAGCTAGTACTGAACAAAAAGAAAAAGCTGCCAGCACCTGACACCTTTGACAAGGAATGGTAAGGCAGACTATTGGCAGAGCTGTTGGAAAACATTTGCCACAAATGACTCATGTTGATGTCCTCCAGCAGAAGCAGCCCCAGCAGGGCACACCTTAGAAAAGATCACCATGGGCATAAAGGCATGGCAGCTCATTCCATTTTAATCAAACCCCAACAAAAATGCAAGCTCCTGGGACCTCCTCTCACCCAAGAGAAGATGGAGAAATGAGATGCCCATTCCTTGCCTGGATAGTTTCATTAACTTCCACACTGGCTTTGCTACTCCAAGCGAAGAACAGCTGTCTCCTATCCCAAAGGGGGCCTTTGTAGCTTGGCAAACATCCACCTCCATCCACTAAAACAGCCAGAAGAAAAAGAACAAGCCAGCTACAGCCACAAGCCCCCCTCCAACCGCTCCCAGATGCTGTGCAGATAAAGACCTGCAAGACAAAGCTCATCCAAAGTCCTGAACAGCAAAAGATCCCTTCATCTCCGGGATGCTGGAAGACAAGCTCCACGAGGAGGAAAATCCTTTTTCTGGCTGGAAAGCAAGCAAAGCAAGACACAATATGATGGGATTCCCGAACAGGGCGTCTCAAAGAAGAACCAGCCATGTGTCCTACACTGCCTCAGCCAACAACCCCAACTCCCTGGTGGGCCAGGGCAGCAGCTGCAGCACCAGGATCTCAAGCTTACTTGAATATAGCCTTACCTCCTTCCATCATAATGGATTTAATTTCAAAGACCAATACTCTCCAAATGTTAGGTAAGATCAGTGCACTTCAAACACGACTTACACTCACACTCCTCTAGTATACCTGGGTAACTCCAACTCCCGTGATCACACACACAGGAAGAATCAGGCCCACTGATAAAGGCTGAACTTTGTCTACCCTGCTGCTGCTAAGTGCACCAGTAAATTAGCATTGCAATCAGCTCATCACCAAGCTCTCGCCAGCTTCCACACTGTGGGACTTCAGCATCCTCTGGCTCCTGGATTCTTCCTCCACCACGCATTCTCCATTTATTTACAGGGACTTTAAGGAAATACAAGAAAATGTAGCAGGCTTAATTTTGCCTGGTTTCAGGCATTACATTTACCCTGATCACAGCTATTCACAAAAGAAGAATGTTGTATTTTGCAAATTGATGTTTAAATCTCCCCGTGGGTAGCAATTGAAGTCTCTGGTTCCTTTCAGGGACTGCACCAGCGATACCCATCCCTGACCCAGCTGTGAGCTGCTAGTGCCACCTGCAGTATCAGAGCTCCATGTAAATGACACTGAATCCCAGCACTGCCTGCCAACATCTCAGTGCACAGTCTGCAAAACAAACCCCAGCAACACCAATCTCTGGGCGATGTCTCTGCAGCAGATCTCACTTCCAACACCAGGATGCGGAGCTCGGCACAGCCAACCAAGCTGAGGCAATGAGGAAAAAAATAATCAGTAAGGGGCAGCAAATGCCATCAACCAACTACTTTGAAAGCTGATCTCAAGCAAGGTCAATAAGCACTTGAAAAGCCCAGCCCTCAAGTTTCTTCTGAAGTCAGCTCCTGATTTTCAAAACATGCTGAAAAACACAGATAAAAGCTTATCTTTGCATCAAACAGCAAGTCAAAGCGTGACAGAAGTGGTTACTGAAGTAGTCCAATCTACTTCAGATACAAGCTGTTCCTAACAGCACTTGCCTTCGGATATGAGCAAAACTGAGATATTATGGACACCGTGGTGCTAAATTCAAGGCACACTTAAGCAGTAAAGACAGCAACCCAACTGCAGCTTGGGGAAGCAGAATGATTTCTTCAATGCCAGTGGGGTCAGCTTTTGGGAAACATTAATCCAATCCTGTTGCATTAGTGCCTACCACAAAACTACAAGCATTTAGAAAAGAAAGAAGCAAGGACCTGCTGAGTGTGAGCAGATTAAGAAGAAAAATACAGATTTCAGCCCGGCTAGGATTATTTCACAAACCTACAAGCCACTGCAGAAAGCAAATGAGAACATCAGTTAGGCTGCACCTACTAATCACCACAGGAAACACTTGCCTGAAAGGTTTGCTTCTATTTTCAGTTCATTTCATGACATTTACCTAAACAGATGAAGCAGCAGGAGCACACTGCCAGCCTCTCTCCAGCTATACTTGTTACTGTGGGTATTAAGTGGCTCGTGCCGTATTTGTATTTTATGCAAGACTGAACAGTGATGGGGAGGAAATCAGCATCTTCTCACAGCACAAGACTGGCTATGACTTTCAAAGCAGCAGCTGTTACAGAGGACCTTTATGAAGGTATTTGCAGGCAGCCAGCCACAAGGGCCTCCAGCTGCACCATCCAATACTTCAGGTTATATCCAGCGCTGCCTTTGAATTCCAGCTGAAATGAAACTATTGTTTAAGCAATATTCAGTTCACCTACAGGGCAGCACACTAAGTTTGTCTGAAGGTGATTAAGAAGTGTTGCGGGGGGCTGAAGAGATGCTGCTCAAAGGCAAACTCCTGTTACACAACCACAGTTCAGAAAAACAGCTTTCTTGTGAATCACCACCACTGGTTTTGCTTTCTCTTGGGCTAATTATGCCCTTAGGGATAATGCTGAACAGAAACTGAACCTGTACCCAAAGCAGCCAGTTGATACATAAATTAGGTGATCTGACTGTATCACACTTGTTATTTTCAAGGGACGGTGCTGAGGGAAGAAGCGAGTTTCATTTTATTTTTTACAGCCTCATAAGACTGCCCTGGAGTGTTTTACCTGCAAAAAAACCAGCTATGACATGAAAGGAGAAGAAAAGCAGATTGTTTTCTTCACTGCTCAGCAACTGCTAAGGAACGATGCGAGGAGCAGAAGAAAGGAAAGGAGGAATGCGTTCACAAAGGTGGTAGCAGCTGAAATTACACACAATAGTTTTCAAGTCTTTTAAACTGCAGATTTAGGTAAGTGGACCCCATGCAGCACAACCACTGCTGGCACCACCCTGGATGCCAAAGGAAGGCAGAAATACGTACTTACAAAATAGAATTCATGTGACCAATGAATTCCTGTGCCTGGAATATCAGAGATCTGAGTTACCTGGAGAAACTGCCTTCGTGTCACAGTTACAGCAGGAATGCAACCTTCCCTCCAGCACTATTTTTATTTATTTATTTATTTATTTATTTACAACAACCACTTTTGTACAGCACTAAAACACCAACATTTCATCCACCCCCCCAAAACTGAACCCATGATGCCTGGATCAGAGCAAGGCAGAGCATCAAGCACTCCTGTGACACCCCCTGAATAACAAAGAGCCAACTGAGCACTGCACCCCAAGAAGAGCACTGGGCAGGGTGCACCCATACCCAACAGATCAGTGCCACAGCACCTCCTCATCTCCCCCCTCAGGGCTCTTCTGTCCTGATACAGGAGCTGAGGGAGCTCAGCACACCCTGCAGGCTCTCAGAACAGGACCCTGAAGCAGCCAGATGCTGCCATCCCTGCCCACCATTCCTAGCAGCCGTGCCTCTGACCCTGCCAGCCAGGCTCACCAATCCTCCCAACAGCCCTGCAGGCAGAAGGATCTGTCTTCCTGACCATACAGTGCACAAATGGAGGCCTGCAATGCTCTGCAGCATAGTGCACCTTGCCAATACAACACAGCCTTTGGCTCCTGCAGCCCTGCACTGGCCCTGACCAGCAGTGATGCAGCTATGGACAAGAAGATGAGGCAAAGTTACTGCCACCCTGTGCTGAGCTCCATTTTAAAGAGGCTTTTGCTGGGTTCGGTCATTCAGCCTGCAGATTTAAAGAACAGCTTTTTATTTAAAGTTTATGAAAATAAAAAGTGAGCAAATATGCCAGACACTTGATGGGCAGAACAACACTAGTCACATACAGATGCTCAGGCTGAAGAACAACTGAAATCCTGGGGAGCACACACTGTGATCCCCCCCAGCTGCAGCACAGGGGCGCTCACATCACCTTCCCCTGCCCTTCTCCCAACTTTACTCACAGCTGACAGCCCTGCAGTTCAAAACCCTCAGCCTGCTCCTCTCGTGCTTGGCGTTAAGTTTCAGAAAAATGCACCAGTTCATTAACGCTGCTCTCTGCAGCTCATTGATCGAATCACTGAGCAGACTGCTGGTTTGACAGATTCTCTTTTCTGAGAAGTTTCAGTACCAAAAGTTTGAAGTTTAGATAAAAGTAGATGACTAAAATGCAAGATGGAAGCAAAGGTGATTTCTAAACATTCTCTACCAAGCCCACCCTAAGGAAGATAGAGACACGCAGGTTTATCTTCTCCCTCAAGCTGACAGCAGAAGTATTGCACCAGGTGATCTCAACACGTTAGCATGCATCATGCTGAGATGCACTGCATAGCTTTAGATTCCTCCCCCAGAACAACGAAGCAGACAGCCCTAGTCTAAGCTGTGCTGCTAGGCTCTAACCAGGGGCAGGACTGGCAGTTCCATCAGCAGCTTCCTCCAACAGAAGCAGTCTCACTTGCTCTGTTAGAATTCCATCACCAAGCCTGGTCCAGCACTCAGGCTCACAGAACCTCACCTTGTTTTGTGAGAGCATCCCTCAGGGCTGCAGTTATCATTTCTCTCCTTTCACCCGCCTCCTTCCTCCCAGAGGTCTCTCCAAGCAAGCTCATTCCAGCATCTCTATCCTCCAGCTCACGTTCTCTCTGTTTGAAGACAGTAACAGACACTTAAATTCAATCTCATATTATTTCTGGGACAGATCAGGGAAGACAGACATCACTGCAGTGATTTAGACTGCCCTAGGAGCTGTGCTCTCTACCAGTCACCCCAAAGGACAGCCAAGAGCACCATCAAAACCTGATAATCACCAAAGACCCTGCAAGAAAAGGCTGCTCCCCCTGAGCAGTCAACTCCACACAGTGAGCTGCTGCATCCCATACATCTGGCTTCCAACAGGTGCACCTTTATAAACATGCTTAAACTCCTGGAGTTTACTTAAAAGAAAGAAAACAACACAAATACAGGAATACCATGTATTAGCATAAGTTAAAGGAGAAACAAACAAATCCCAGCACGTAAGAAAAGCGTGAATCTGCCACTATGTAAGTGTCACTTCTAAGACACTATGGGTATTTATTGCTTTATGTCTGCACAAAGAAGCATGAAAGTGGAAATAATTACTTTGATATTTCATGCAACTTGTAATCTGTCAATTCTTTATGGCTTTTTTTTTTTCTGAAGCATTAGAGAAGTTATGGATAAACAACACAGACCAACAGAGGACATTCTGTTTCTGCAAAACAAGCTATTCAACATCCAAGTCTCTTCTGTGCCAAAGTCATCAAGAAGTTCATGCAAACGCTCCCAAGCTTCCAGTTTGAGTTCACCCACCTTAGCATCACTAATGAAAGCAGTGCTCCTCGCTTCCCCACCTGTGCTCTTTGCACAGAGGCAAGCACCCCAGCCCCATCACTGACCCACATCCCCCAGCATCACAGCCACATGTCCCTTAAACCCAGGGAAGGGGATCCCATGGACCACCTTGTCCATGAGGAAACTCTTCCTAACGCCCACTGTAAGCTTTCCTGCTGCAGCTCCAGCCTGCCCCCTCCCACCCTCACTTGCAGACCCAACAGATCAACCCCGCAGCCTCCTTTCAGGCAACTACAGAGAGCAATGAGGTCTTCTCTTAGTCACCTTTTTTCCAGACTCAACAACCCCAAGATGCTTCACTGGTAAAATATTAATATGGCTGGAAAAGCCTCGTGCATAAGGGAGGAAGGAGATAAAATCCTCAGCTATTAATTCTTAAACAAAGAGCTTCTCCCACATCATTTAATCCAGAACTAGGCACAGCCATCCATTTACAAAGGAAGGGCACTACGTCAGCACAGATTCATTAGCTATCCAAAGAAAAACACCAGGCAGGATTTCTGAACAGATGCATCCTGGCATATCTACTCTCCAATCTCATGCCAGGTTAATTCCCCCAGAAGAACTCAATATGCATTATGTAGAACATCAAAATATTAAAAACGCAGCGATTCACTTAACTACAAATAAGATATCCTATCCAAGGCAGCCTTCAGGAGAAGTCCTTCCGAATTAAAGGGCTTGCATCTCTACCTGCCTGCCGTGCTGCAATTGCAACAGCAGAGAAAAAGCACCTAAACATGAAAAAACAAATAAATAAAATTGCCTCGCTGGCAAGGCAGAGGCATTTATTTCAATAATCATCTTCCCCTCAGAGATGCTGTTAATATATTTTTTTTTCCCCTTTCATCCTGATGCGAAAGGCTGTAAACAAAACAATCATCTGTTTTCCTCTGATCCGCAGTACCTGACTGGCTCTGCCTGGCAGGCGATGGGCTTTAGGCATTCACACCCCAGTGAGTTTTACTTATTTGCTTAATAAACCTTTCATATCTATTATTTAGGGATCCAACGCAGAGAATGAAGTTAAATCTGCACAGAGCAAACTTCTCTAGTCGCAGTGATTTAGCAGAAAGCCCTGTAGTAAATCTAAAGCGAGTTACTATCTTTCCCTAACAAATCAAGCAAGCAGTGACAGGAGCCAGCTCCTCGTGTCCTTGAAATACCTCCCTGCTAGGAAACTGCAATCCCACCCTCCCTGCACTCACACAGCACCCACAGTCAGAAAGAAGCAGGAATCAATCCCAGTTTCTGGCAGACTCGCAGCCCAGTGCAGCTCCATGTGCCCAGCAGGACTTGCCCTGCCCTACACAGCAGCTGTCTGAGCTCTCACTGCATTTCCCATTTTACTACATCAAATGCTTTCCCAACTAGGATTGTGGGCAGGAAGAACGCAGGAAAAAAGGCAAATTGCATCAACTCCATGCAAAAGAAGTCTTCCCTAGGCTAAATTATGTTTTTAGCCTCATTGCTCTATTCACGTGCCAGAGCTGAAAACAACACATTCCCTGAAAAGCTTTTACTCCAGGAAGGAAAACAGCCAGAATACAGCTCAATTCTGACTGAGCTTGTTTCCTACTTAACCTCCCCTGGACAAACACAGGGCAATCCCAGCCTTGTCCTGACTTACTGCATCATCCATCAGGGCCTCCTCCAGCTCCTAACATGTGAAAGGTGCACACATTAAGAAAACAGTAATACATCGGGGCAGCAGACAAGAGAAATGGAGCTGAAGCTAAGGGAAAACTGTTGGCAAGGTTATCAAGGAGAGGAGGAGAGACAGCCTGGCAGTGGTAGCACGGCTTGCTGAGGGGAACGGTTAAATGAAGTGTTAAAGCTCATGAATGAAGAGCTAAAATCCCAAGCAGAGCTCTGGTGACAAGGGAGCAGTTACAACACTTAGAACAGTTAGAACAGATTTCCCCTCATGCAGTCCCAGCCATTGGGGCATTACAGTTTTCCTGGCAGAGCAGCCTTCCCACGAGGCCAAAACCAGAGCAGAAGGTCCAGCACAGGGTGCCAGCTTGCATCAAAGCTTTGAACTGGGACAAAGCAGGACTGCTGCTCCAGATTCCAAGTGCTGACTGTCCTAACCAACGAACTGAACTGCAGTTTGCTCAGCCCGTGGACTGAGGATATCTAGCTGCTGTCAGTCATCACTGAAAACTGCCCTGAGCATTCCTCAGAGAGCACAAGAACGGGCATTAGGAACTCGGATTGAGTCATCAGTGAACCAGCACGCACCCTAACAGCCAGGAAACCTCATTAAGAATAGCTGCTGGTGTCTATATAATCACAGGTTTCATACCCACTGCATACATCACTGCCCAGTTAGGCATACGAGGCTGAATTGAAGCAAAAAAAAGAAAGAAAAAAAAAAGCAGACAGATGGAAAGCAGAACATGACAGCCAAGGAGCAGGGAGCTCAGCAATTCATTCCTCTGCCCTGGATTGAAGCAGGAGGAGGCATGATCAAAACCCCCATGAATCTTCAGTGAAGAACCAAACAGGAGTTTGTCCGTACCTGCCTTACTGTGCAATGCCACAAGGTCCCCTGCACCATTCCAAGCAGCAGGTACCACTCAAAATGCTATTCCAACAGCCCTGCAGCTCAGATCCTATCATGCCCATTTTCTTGCAGGTTCAGCATCGGAATCTTCAGGGATAACACCTCCCAGAATGTATGCACATATGCAGGGCTGCAGAAGAGATTTTGGGATTGCTTCACAGAGCTGTAATATCACTGCTGTGCTGCAGGGAAGGCTTTTTACAAGCTGTAGTTAAACCAAGCCTCCATTTCACACGCTGCTTTATGGTTCTGTCAACGTTTGTTGGAGTTGGGAAGCTTCATTGGACACGCCGTAAAAACAACTGGTTTTCAAAGCAAACAAGAATCAAAACTAAAAGAAATGTGTCTGTTTCCCCCTGAAAGGGAGTAGTTTATATTTCAAAACCGGGACATATATTCACATTTTTATTCCTTTCTCCTGCACTACAAGAATCAAAACTAAAACCTAGGAAACAAGATTTAACAAGCATCCTGAAACACCCAGCAAGACTTTCAGCTGCAGCCCATTTTGCTTTCTCACGCAGAACAGAGTACATATTTTCATAGAATTACCAAGGTCGGAAAAGACCTCCAAGACCATCCAGTCCAACCTTCATCTACCACCAATACTTCTCCACTACACCACGTCCCTTAGCATCTCGGCATAGTTTGGATACTTCTTTTCAATGGCTCTGTAGAAGACTTCTCCGTTCCATTTCTTTCTTTTCCTTCCACTTCAGGACTAAGGAGAGGACATTTCATGCCATCACCCATCTTTCAAGCAGCAAAGACACCGCACGCTTTCCTTGCTGAGAGCCCCAGACACAGCTCCCATCCCTGGATTGCTCTTCTCAGGAAAGCCACTTGGCCCAAGACCGCAGGAAAGCTTGTGATCAGCTAACTGGAGAGCAGCAAGGACAGATCCTATTTGCACTTCTGCTACTTCCCCAAATAGGAGCCATATGCAAGTCTTTCAAGCACTCAATTAACAGCTCTGGCCTATAATCTGTTCAATGATTTGCATTAGCCAGCTTTTCGGGACTGTTAGATCAAAGGACACAAGATTATAATAATTATAATCTTATAAAGAATACCTGATTAAACCCAAACGGAAATTGCTTGGTTTCCACTGTAATTAATCTTCGTTAACTGTAAGAAAAATATAAACCTGACACCCAAAGCCCTGCTCAGCATCCTTCACGACCAAAGCCCCACTTTCCAAAGTTAGGAGCTGCTTGGCACTCCATCCCCAGTCATGGTGACAGCTGGGTTGAAACAACCCTCTGCACACAGACATTGGCCAACACAAATACAGACCCAGGCTGCCCACTCTGGAGCCACAGCACTTCTGCCCGTGCCAGTAGCCAAAAGGATGAAGCCTTCCCCACACAAAAGCTCAGCCATGCTATTAGCAGAAAAATCCACAGCGTGGTTTGGCACACACCTAAGCAGTCTGTGCACGCTGTGAGGCTCATCTAGCAGAGCACAGATGCACACACAGGACCTAACACCTTACTCCAACACGCTCCTTTGGCAGCAGATGCTGTGCTCCAAGCCATCACTGTGCTCATCGCTCCTTGGATACAGCAGCAACATCAACAAGCCACCTCCTCCTCACTTCTCCCAGTAATTACCATCAGCAAATAATCATTCTGTGCATTGATTTGTGGACTTCAGCTGTGTTATTTGTCTGGCAAGAACCTCAGAAAATGCACGAGAAAG